GGGGGGGGGGGGGGGGGGGGGGGGGGGGGGGGGCGCAGGGGGTGGAACCTAGTGTGAGAATCATGCCGCTACCTAAAGGTCAAGAGTGACACCTATTTAAGGCTCAACATACACAATGTGTGCATGCGACTACTACTAGATGAAAATTCTGTGAAACCCATGGGACATTGGGAAGGGGAAAAAAAAAGAAAAGACGAAGTGTTCAATGCTTAACATACACAATGTGTGAATCGTCGCTTCTGATCAGTTCTGGTCGCCTTCGGAATGGATGCTTTATTGAGCCCTCAAATTCATATGTGACAAGTCAATAACTGTTTGTGTGACCTCCATTACTCTTTCAAATGCCTAACCAGTCTACGTGTTCCTTCGGGGCTGTGCCAATGGCAGAAAACACAAGCAGAGAAGGAGAACGATGCTCTTGCACTTACCTACCCGGGAGGACAGAATACCCACTCTGCTGGCATATTGGTGGAGGCTGATGCCGCACGGAAGGTAGGGGTGACATCTCTCATGTAACTCATTTATCCTTTAGAATTGCAGGCCACTGTAAATGTATTGTATGCTGGCAAGTAAATATAGTGTGTTCATCACCTACCTCATGTACTACTACAGTACTACTACTACGACTACGACTACTACTACTGCCACTGCTAGTGCTACTAATACTGCTACTCCTACTGCTACTAATACTGCTACTACCTTCTTCCCCCGAATACAACGTACTGTCATTATAGCTGTATCTAGACTGAAAGATACCTCAAATAGAGCTATAATGACAGTACATTGTATTCGGGGGAAGAAGGTAATATTGCTATTAATACTGCTACTGCTACTGGTATTCCCACTACTACTGCTACTGCTATTGCTGCTGCTACTACTACTACTACTACCACTATACTACCACTATGCTACTACTACAACTAGTACTACTGCCACTGCTACTACCACTACTACTACCACTCCTACCCTTGCCATCAGTACATCATGCTGGAGTGACGATGACGAGCTCGAGGATGCAAAATAATATACAGACCCGCATCCTCCATGTATAACAGTGAAATGTCAGAAAGGCACCATGGGCAGCGGTAGTATAGAGCACCTTCGACTGCCCCCACGTCTTGCCCCGTAATAGGAGTTACTAGTCTAATAACTGCCCGGCCGCAATCTGAGGCGGCAATGAAAAGAATGATGACAACTGTAGTCCGTCGATATCAATGGCATCGACAATTCATTGCTACCGCAGCTGTGTCTTTTTGTTAAGCACGTCCAGCCTTGGGTAAGGAAGAGGTCTTCCGCAAAATAGGTTTGGAGCAGTGATGTTTTGGCACTTGGCGAAATGCAGGTGCTCGGCTCCGGACTTCGGTCTTCCAATGGGATGCGTAAAAGAGGAATTGAACCACCAGTTCAGCCGTGTCAGTGGCTTTCCGGTGGGCACAGAACGACCCCACCGCTTTCGCCTACCGGATCCAAGGGAGGTATCTGCGGGTGTGCATAATTCCAAGGACCTCAAAATTTTCCAAAAAGCGAGCAGCGATATTGCTAGGGTTACTCTGCATCAAGGGGCGGAGGGTGTGTGTGTGTGTGTGTGTG